CATACATTCTACATTCTATCATGAGTAAAGAAAACAAACCAAAAAAAGTGAAGGTTGAGTATTTGCTGAAGTTTATACAGCTAGTAAGTGCCATAGCAGAGATTGGGGGGTGTGTGTTGGTGGGGGGAGTATTGTTTCAGAGCATTTCTCTTTATTTTGCATTTGAAAACCCATCGGCCAGCCAGCCACGGGGTAAAGTGGCTAGGTCCCATATGGCTATCCCTATAGTTCAAATCCCGGATGCAGTGGCTTGAGAAACACCCTGGGTGCATGTGTGTGCATGCCAAAATCCCAAGAGGAGAATTGAGAAAGTATCCAGCCTCATGGCCATCCCCCCGGGAGATGCTTTATCTCTCTGTCTCTCTCCAGTAAATGCATATGCCCTATAGCAAATTCGAAAAGGAAAGAAGGAAAATTTAAGAACTTAAAGTTATCTATTTGGGCTTCCTCGGCCCTTTATCCCAGCCTTTCCACCACCCTCCCGTCACATGACTGAACACGTATGCTATGACTGAACACCAAGCACTCACAGCTTTTAGGTGGAATGAACTCCGAAAGGCATTTTTTTTCTTCTCCCCCAGAATTGCTAAGCATGAGATGAACCATTTAGTTTCAACTACAGTAGAGTGGTGCCCCCTTATGTATAGGAGATACACTTCAAGCCCCTCGGGGGATGGTGGAACCACAGGGAGGACTGAGCCCTGTGTTTACCAGTAACTTCCACCAAATAACCAAAACCACTAAGCGGTAACCGGCGAGCAGCACATGTAGTATGGGTAAGCCGTACAGAACAATGATCCACAGCCCAGGAGAGTGTAAGGACAGCTCGAGCACACAATTTAAAACTCATGTTTATTTCTGGAATTTTTCAGTTATTTTCAGACTGCAGTTGACTGCAGGTAACAAACTGCAGAAAGTAAAACTGGGTGAGCAGGGGCTACTCTACCATTTTATTTTCAACCTGATTACAGCATGGCGGATTAGGTGTTTTATGTCAATTCAGTTTGTTTTAAGACCTGTTTGAAACAATGATGACTATCATTTGTTCAAAGGGGGGTGTTGTATAGTTAACTTGTGCTGTAAAGTCATAAATGAGTAATATTGATAAAATCAGACTGCTCGCCTTGTCTCTCTGCTCCTCCCATGCCAGCCCCGGCACACTCTCTCTGAGCACCATGGGCTACATTCTGGCTGTCAAACTTGTTTAAGTGCACATCCCCCTTAGCTTTTGGCTAGACTACCAAGATATGTGTACTTATTATCATTTGAGTGATATGACAATAATGGTTGTTATTGAACACTTGCTATATGTATTCTGTTTTAAGAACTTTTTGAAGTATTCATTTATGTATGTTACTTTATAGTAGGGTTTTTTTTTGGGGGGGGGAGAGTTTTTTGTTGTTGTTTTTGTTTGTTTGTTTTGTTTGCTCTAGGGTACATGCACTCACCAGAAAGACAGAGACACAGAAAGCGAGAAATCACCCCCCAGGGGGAATGGCCACGCTGCAATCCCTTCTCCTCTATTCTCCTCTCAGGATCTTGGGCACACATGCACACACATGTGCCCGGCGTGAGTTTAAGCCACTGGGTCCGGGACTCAAACCGCAGTTGACTACATGAGAGTCCAGCAACAGAGACATTACACCAACTGCTGGTCCCCATGGTAGTTTTATGACATAGGTATTATCACCATTTTACAGATAAGGCAATTAAGATATGACATGCTAAATAACTTGCGTAGGCCACTCAGCTTGCAAGGGACAGAACTGAGCTTGAACCAGGCCATCTGACTTGAGTCTCTGCTCTAATCCCCTGTCTCACAGCTTCTTCTACACATGCTATGCTACTCATGTACACATGATTTTTGGAATATGAGAAATTAGAATTTTTTTAAGGTTTTGCCATAGGACACATGCACTAGTCAAAGAGAGAGAAAGCCTGGAGAAACAGACAGAGAGACAGACAGACAGACAGTGAAAGAAAAAGAGAGAAATCTCTTCCCAGGAGAATGGCCATGCTGCAACCCCTTCACCTCTCGGGATTTGGGGCACACACACACACACACACACACACACACCACAACACACCACACACACACACACACACACACACGCACACACACACTCATACATGCCCAGCATGATTTTTAAGCCTCCAGGTCTGGAACTCAAACTATGGTCGACCATGTTGGAGTCCAGCACCTTACTACCATGCCACCTGCTAGCTCCCCAAAATACTGATTCATCAGGAAAGTCATGACACATTTTTGCATAGAAAACTATGTCATGACTTTCCCAGTGACCTAACAGGAACTTTTAAAGGACAATGTACCTGTTGGTAATATTGAAAGTCTCATACTTTTGTCCTCTATCCCCAAGGAGTTATCTAGATCCACCTCTGGGTTACATGTATTTCTTTTTGGAATCACCTTAGGGGGCTCTTAAAGGAGGAAGTGCAAACTGCAGCCCTCAGCGACTTTAACATCCCTCTTTGTTTAGACTCTGTGGTAACAGTGGAGTCTACGAATATGGCGTCTCTCTTCCAGTTTGTTCCATCCTTCCATGAGTTTGGGGCACTTTTCTTCCTGCTGTCCCTGGACTTGCCCATTAAGGCCCAGTCAGACTAAACTAAAGCCTTCCCCAAATTCCCTCATGTCCATTTGTCCTCTAGACTAAACTGACCAGTCTTACTATCCTAGGAAGTTGCTAAGTAATGTACCGGCTCAATGGAAAAATAAACCATATACCCGCGTGACTCCCTCCCTTTCCATCTGCCGTCTTTGATAACAGTCATCTTTGAGAGCTTCCAAAACCACCCTATTTAGAATTCTCTCTCTGGGGCCAGCAGGTAGTGAGGTAGTTAAGGTGCTGGACTCCCACATGGCTCACCACAGTTTGAGTCCAGACCTGGTGGCTTGCTTTCTCACTTTCCCCCCTCTCTCTCTCTTGCCCTGTCTCTCTCTGGTCAAATTAAAAAGAAAAATAATGATGATAATAATAAAAATAAAGTTCTCTCACACACACAAATACACACTTTTCCCCTACTTTTCTTTTCTCCACTGTAGTTTTGCCAGATGATTTTTTTGTGAGTTTACTTTCACTCAAAAGTGAACTTAAGGGCAGAAATTTCTGACTCATTTATTCCTATATTCCTAGGGCCTACAATAATGACTGTCTCATGGTAGAGAGTGGACAGTAGACAGTAAAAACAAAACAAAACAAAAAAACTAGTTGAATGAATGGTAAACAATATCCTAGGATTAACAACATAGGGAATTTAAAACAATAGAAGAAATAATATAAGGCAAAAATGCTTTTCTTAGTGACTTTCAATGTATCAATTCCTTAAAATCTGCATGTGTTCTCCCTGCAGTGCAGAACATTGAACGAGTAACGTAGTTATTTGTACAGTTCACAATATGAATTATGCGAGCCCAAAGTAAATCCTCCTTTGCTCAATTAACTATTTGTTGTCCAACTAAGTGTCTGCCTTCCTTTGTTACCAAATCCATATTCTTTAGCTCTTTTTGTTTGTTTTGTAAGAGAGATTTTTGCTATAGGGTGTATGCACTTGCCAGAGAGACAGAGAGAGAAAGCAAGAAATCACCCCCCAGGGGGCATGGCCATGCCACAATCCCTTCTCCTCCATTCTTCTCTCGGGATCTTCAGCATGCACTCACATATGCCCAGCATGAGAGCATGAGTTTTAAGTCACCAGGTCTGGGACTCAAACTGTGGTCAACTACAAAGGAGTCCAGTGATATACCATTACACTATCCACTGGCCCCATCCTTTACCTCTTAACACACAGTAAGGAAATGCCAGACAACAGCCTGGCGTGGTTGATTTGGTATCTTATACTAATTCAGATCACTTTTTGAATAATCATGATCACTCTTTGTCCAGATGTGACACAAGTGTGGTCAACGCATGATAAAAAAATTTTCCGTATGTATGAGGTTTTTCAGAGGCTGCAACTCTTGGGGAGGGTGAAAGAGTTTGTTTAGAAGTTTCCTTTGCATGGCATTTTTCATAAGACTGAGTAGCAATTAGTATATTTTCTGCCTGAAAATGTAGAGGAGGTAATAGAGATTAAACTCTCCCTTGACCATTGAATGTAATTTAAACTCTGAACACTCTGAACACTTATGAGATACACCATACAAAACAATTTTATTTTCAATTTATATCAGTATGGTATATTTCAGAATTGCCATAATTGGAGCTGCTTTTAAACAGAAATATAAAGGCCTTTTTAAATTACACAGAAAATGCATAGTTTGAGAATTTTATTACCTTATTTTCTGAAGTATCATACTACAAATATCTTTTGTTCAGTTCAAGAGTCCATAGGACTTAGAGTTTTGAACTAAGTGAGATTAGCAAGAAACAATATAATTTATGAGCTCAACTAACAGAACAGTGCTGAGTCAGGTTAAAAAAAAAAAAAAAGAACTAATATTATGGCTGACAAGGATGACATGTCAGATGTTTCATTCATTTTAAAGACCAACTCATTTCAATAAATCACTTTGATCATTTTAAATATACCATGTAAGTAGAAGGTGTGTTTAAATGTGCAGGACACATCCATTTTCTTCACAACATCCTGTGTTTTTCATTTCATTTCCCAAAGATGTATTATCAGATTATTTTTTATGAGCTGATCCATATTTTATTTTATTCATGTAGCCTTGTTTATTGGTGCCATTATGCTTATTTGATTCTTTGAGATTCAACCCACGTGAAAAACATCATGTTTCTTCCTTCTTGCACAAAAAGCAAAAGGAATTTCCTCTTTAAAATATATTTGTCAATGTAAAACAGTAAGAAAGTAACACACGGGGTACATTTGGGGCTCTTTGGTGTAAAAATTTCGTCTGAAACAGCTGTATTGCATCAGATAGTATGTTATATCTCAGAATAGCTAAGATGGATTTTCTTTACTTTGTGAATGCTCCACTATTTTCTCTTCTCCCCTAACCTCCCCCTGTTTAACAGCAGACAAAACCAGGGAGCCCTGAATGAATCCGATGATCCTGAAACAGGCTGTCTAACTGATAACAAGCCAACTTCTCGACACTTCTATCCTGTCGCCTTGCTGCTCGTCAGCTCACACCTGCTAGTTGTGTGGCTTATCTTAAGTCTTGCATTACTATTAGCCAAATATCAATAAGTTTTCTGTTGTATCTCTTTCTTTTCTACCAATGACAATGGACTTTAAATTATGGGAACAATGCTGTACTATTTCTACATTTTCAGATTCACAAACTTTAAAAAAAATGTTTGAACTGTGTTTTTTTTTGTTTGTTTTTCTTAAGATCTAAAAAGCAAAAAGTACTATGCATTCAGTGAGTTCTTTTGTTCATGGAAAAGTGTTTCCCATTGTTACCTAACTCAAGAAGAATTTTTAAATTACTGTCTTTGGACTAAGACAAAGAACAGAATCCTGAAAGCTTGAAGTTCTGAACCTCCTGTCCCCCTTCCCATTCAATTTTATGAAAGAAATTAAAGACTGAATTTGCACAACACACTGAATCCCTGAGACAAGTCCGAAAGATGTAGGAGGTTACAGATTTTCTCTCCACTGTGTGAATATCATAGTTGCCATCGGCTGATAGAAAGTTCTGTTTCTTTAACCTGTTGTTTCATTTCTTTGCTGCGATTAACCCTTTTCTGTCAAATAACTTTCTGGAGAGAATGGCTCTTTCTGTTTGTAATTAAATTTACCTGTTTGTAACTATTGTTTGGGTTGATTTGGCTTTCGGAGTACTTTTCTATTCTTTTTAACACAGGCCTTGTTTGTGTCTTAATGCACCATTTTCAGCACTTGTGACTTTTGTACTGTCTGTGGACAAGCATTCCTCCTTTATAAAGCTGAGACTTGGACCAGGCTGTTCAGAAAGCCATTTCCTCTCTTCGTTGCACAGCTCAAATACTGAAGTAAAATAGAGATGAAACTTTCCTTTAAAATTCTATAGGGCCAGACTTCATAAATTAAATGCCTTATTCCTAGAACCTGCATCCTTAGGGCTACATATAGATTTTAATGTGTTTTAAAGAGACTGAGAAATTAATTTGTGGAGAAGTTATACAAAAGGCAGATATATTTATGAAACTAAAGTGAAGCTGTATTGTGGAGAAAATTATATTTAAAGAGTTTATTAAACCTTAAGTATCTGTGAAGAGCAAAGAGACTTTAATCTTAATCTCTTTCTGAGGGCAATAATGGTATTGGGCCTGGCCTAGGATTTAATTTTGTAAGATGTATCATCACTTGTGGAAAAAAAAAAATGTAGAGTTGAATCTTTGTTATTTTTACTTGGACTGTTGCTGCAACTCTGCATTGAACAAATAAAGCATATTTATTTATTCTGTGTTTCATGAAGTTGTACTTTTTCCCCTTTCACCAGAGAAGGATGCCGTATAGAGAATGTCCTGAAGAATATCAAATGCAGAAAGTATGCTTTCAACATGCTACAGCTGATGGCTTTCCCCAAGTACTACCGACCTCCAGAGGGGACTTACGGAAAAGCTGACACCTAAGTGTGCCCACATGTAAATAAACAGGAACACAAAATGTGTCTGTTGGATCATTTCCACCTTGGTCTTTTTTATTGTCATGAATTTATTCGGGGAGAACTTCATGGATAATTGCCCAAACCTAGGAATCATTTACATTGGTTATCAACATTTCACTCTAAGATAAATTCATTAAGAGGAAATCTTACCTCATTTTGCTCTTTCTAGTTCTAAGCTTCTATATGTGTGGGCCCTCACTGATCAGGATCAGTTCAGAAAGTGTACATTTTATTCCTGGAACATGTACATGAAAGGCGTTCTGAGAAAACCAGTTGCTTATGCAAGATTTGAGGCGATTCAGAGAAGAGCACTCTCCATCCAAAATGAAGGGAGGTGACAATAAAGAGGAGCGAGACTTGGAGATACTGTTCCACTGCCTGTGAGAACACAGATAATTTTAGAACCCATTTCTGGGATTTAAAAAATATTTTTCTATCGGGATCAGTAGATGGAGTAATGGTTACGTCACTGGTCTCCCATGTAGTTGGCCACAGTTCGAGTCTTGGACTTAGCAGCTTAAAACTCAAGCCAGGTGCATGTGTGCCCAAGATCCTAAGAGGAGAATGGAAGAGAGAGGTCTGTGGTGTGGCTATCCCTCCTGTGCGATGATTTCTCAATTTGTCTCTCTGTCTTTCTGAAGTGTGTGTGTGCCCAATAGCAAAAAATCTCTCTTAAGAAAAAAGAAAATGTGTGTGTGTGTATATACGTATATATATATCTCCATATATATATATATATATATATCCATTCTATCAAATGGAAATTAGGTAAAGTTAACTCATGATATCAACTGTTGATGCAGTCTGAGAGTGTGTTCCTAAAGACTTTGTCATTCAGAGACATCCCCTCCCATACAGAAATGTGACTCCTCCCAACAGGTATACGAACAGGATTAGTAAGTCAGTGAAGATACCTTTCAAAATTATAGTATCTTTTCTAAGTTCTGACTTGGGTGTTATGACCCAGCTCTGGAAGGGGCAATACAGAAGGTTTAACAGCATAATAGGCAAAATACTGCAAGGAACTGGTATTGCAAGGAAATTCAAGGTGAACAGTCTGTTGACACCAAAAATGAAAAAAATCTATCAGCTTGATCTTTATGTAGTGAAGACCATGAAGGTCAGTAAAATGAGGTGTTTTCTCATACTTTTAGCATAAGTAAGCAGTCTGGCATAGATTAATGTATGTGAATAAATGTATAAAACATATGCAACCATAACAAATGATACACTAAAACAACTATTTTCTGTTTACCCTGAATTTCAAATTTGTCTTTACTCAGTAAAATAACACAGTTCAAAAGTTTCCCAAAATTCCAAATTCCAGATTTCCTTAGAAATCCTGTATAGCACCATTACTTCACAAATCAATCAAGTAAAGCCAATCACCTCCAATCACTTGGCTAGATAATTACAAATAATGATTACCATCTCTTCTTATCTCTACTTTCCTAACCTTTCTAGCCTACAGCTCTTCCTTCCTCTGAATCATTATGCTAAATATTTGGGGAAACGTTCTTCTTTTTTTTTTTTTTTTTAAGATAGGATTTATCACTGAAATTGAAGTTTAAAATATAAAACTCTTGACAAATTAAACCTATTGTCTTTAAATTTCAAGAATTTATTCCTTTTCCTTTCTCATCAGATGAGCATGCCATCAAGACCATAAATATCTCCTGGAAATGCCAGAGGCTTATTGCATAGACATCTCTTAGCTATGGTCCCATTCAGTGGGTATTATGGAGCTTTCTTAAAGCAAAAATCTCACAGCAGAACTCCTGGCAGAAGGTTTCTGGTGAAATAAGGGTTCCTTGTAGATTTCTAGCATCATGCTGAGACTTTCAAGTGATTACAAATTTTATATACCCCTTGTGTACTTCTCACAGTAGAATTATTAATTTATTGTTTTAGTTAATAACCTGTGGGCACGATACTGAGGCAGTTGCCAAACTATTTACAACCTTTCTAATGAAAATGTGCCGGAAACTCTGGAGCTGTTCACAGACAAAATGATCTCAGTGTACTCTGTTACACATTATTCTCCCTTTCAGCAATTAAATATAATCTTTGAATTGTTCAATTTCATAGCTTCTTAGCCTAGTGGCTAAGATCAAGTATACTATTCAATTTCATTTGAAAATGGTGGGCTTTGCAACTACTTTTATTATCTCATCGGATTTCAGATAAAGAAGACAGGATGACCCAGATCTTCTTAAATGGCTGTGAAGCCTCATTCAGGATATCAAATAATAGTCTGAGTTCCAAGAGGCCTTAAAGTGATTTACACCTTGTAAATACTCCTACAAACAGTGATTTTTGGTTGTGTTTTTCAAATATGAGACCTTTTGATTCAAATATGAAGAAATGCTTACTAGAAAGCCAGTAGTAGAATTTCTATTTTTAGAGGACAATTCAGATTTTAAGAAATACAGAATCTTCGAAATCTTACCCTAATGTAATGCCTGTGAATTTTTATCTATTACTAGCACAGTCATCTACATTTCCTTATAGAAAACCTATATTCATGCAAACTTCTGAAAGTGGACTTCATTAAAAAAAATTCATGCTTGGTACCAGCAGATGGCATGATGGTTACTTCAAGGGACTCCCATGTAGTCCCCCACTGTTTGAGTTTTGGACCCGGCAGCTTAAAACTCACTTGGGATGCATGTGCGTACACACCAAGGATCCCAAGAGGAGAATGGAGGAGAGGGGATTGTGGCATGGCCATCCCCCTGGGAGGTGATTTCTCACTTCCTGTCTCTCTGTCTGGTGAGTACACATGCCCTATAGCAAAAATCTCTCCCATTAAGAAAAGAAAGGAAAAAGAAAATTCATGTTTCATGTGGACAATGTTGTTCTTATCCTGATCATCCAATTCACTGTGAAATCAGTACGGATTTCTAAATCAAAAGGCAAAGGTTTAAACAAACAAGCAAAAAGTTTTGAAAGTTCCTTCATGAAAAGTCATAACCATGCTTTTCTACCTATATTTTCATTTAATGATGTAGGCCTATTTTAGAAGATAATATTGAACCACAAAATAAACCAAGTAAATGGCATTTCCAAATATATTTTTGTGTGTGTACACATGTGTGTGTATACTTCAGGGGAGGGGACTCAAAAACTTGTTTCCTCTATCATCACATGTAGATACCAATTCTGGATCAGCTATTGACTGAGCCCTAGGCAAAACATATTTGAAGACAAGTAGAACCCTGAGTAAGGTTGACCCGAATGACAAAAGATCCAGTCTGAAAACGTTCCACAGATCAAACACAAAAGTTTGAAATACGTCATTGAAACAAGTGCATCCTTAGATACACTCATTTATTTATTTCTTATATGTTTTTTTTTTTTTATAAATACTGAGTTTTGTCTCCTCTACAACACCAACTTTGGTAAGTCACATAATCCAATCCAGAGGATCAGAGCCACCATTTGACCAGGTGATGAACTGTGCTAATATGTGAACCGTCCAGTCAGGGCAGTACTCCATGTTAACTAAGCTGGAGCCCTACTTTCTAAGGCTTACAATGCTTCCGAAAAACTATAACCCCTAAAAGCTGTTGTTTGAATGGCAATTACACCCCTT